ATTTTCAGGTTCTTAGAAATCAGACGGGAAGACAAAATATTTTGAACTGAGAAGTAGCAAGCATTTCCGGAATTTAATCTCCTCCTAACTTCCTCATGAGTTTCATTTTGATTTGTTATTGTTTTCTTTGTTATTATTGTTGTTCCTTGTAATATACTTGACTTAATTTAAGTAAGTGCAGATAATCAAGACTAAATGAGAACGCAGGAAATCCTGTCTGTCTTCAGGCGATTGAAGAATGACATTCGATAACTAAGTAGAAAAAAAGAACTCCATGGAACAGTATTTCTTCTTGAGAAGCTTGTAGTACATGATGTGAAGATTTCACGGTGGCTTTCATTGGTAAAGTCTTTTCGGGCTATCAGCAGTGTTAAAAATGTTGATTAATCGCTGACGTTTCGAGGACCATTTCTGTCCTCATTTTCAAAGCTGTTGAATGTGACTCGTAACGCGAACTGGTTTAAATGTCCAAGCCCCAGGCACATAAAGAGAAGTCGGTGGGCATAGCTATGATACCGTTCCAACAAGCGATCTCCCAAAGAATTAGCAGAATCTTGGCAAAATATAACATCAGGACCATCCACTTCTCAATGAAGATAAATAGTCAAATGCCGAGACCTATCGAGGACATACCACGTGGGTGCGGGAAGGTCTACATCGGAGAGACGGACAGATGAATCTAAGCCAGATGTATTTTTTTTTTATTAAGTGTTCTGTCTTACAACAGGTCCATTGCTCTGCCCAAAAAAGCTCTCCAGTTGTCCCTATTCTCGGCTTCTCGTTTTAATTCCTGGAACGTCATCTTCTTTCCTTGTTTAAGGTCGTCGGTTAGCTGTATCAATCTTCTTCCCAGTCCTCGCTTTCCTTCAACCTGGCCTTCGCCCACAGAATTAGCAGAATCTTGGCAAAACATAACATCAGGACCATCCACGTCCCAATGAAGAAAAACAGTCAAATGCCGAGACCTATCAAGGACAAATTAGGCCTAAAAGTTGCGGGTGTATACCACATACCATGTGAGTGCGGGAAGGTCTGCATCGGAGAGACGGGCAGATATACGTATCGAAGCCAGATGTACGGAGCATAAAAGGCATATACGGTTCGTCCAGCCAGAGAAATCTGAGGTGACGGAACATAGGTTCGAGACAGGGCACAACATCGATTTCGTTAACACCACGGTCCTCGAGAAGATAACAGGATATATGGACCGCAAAATAAAAGAGGCTGTCGAGAACCCAAGTACCTTCAACACAGAAGGAGGCTTCACGCTTGGGCGATAATGGGATCCGGTAATCAACTTACTCCGGCAACATAGGGTTCCAGCAGTAGGAAGCCAATAACCCCGGAACGCCATACATTCCATACTCCCCCACCAAACTCCGCTCGGAGACCTGCACGAGTCCTCTACAAACCAGTTCGCGCTACGAGACACAGTTAACAACAGCATTGAAAATAAGGGCACAGATGGTCCTCGAAACGTCGGCGATTAATCAACATCTAACACGGCTGATAGCCCGAGAAGACTTTATCAAGCTTACAGTAGCTCAGTCGGTCAATAAATCCGAATGTCCATTACCGTGGTAACAACAGCTCCCCAACAACTCAGTTGTTTTGAACCATAGAATTCCAATTCGTATGCTCACCCCATTTAGGCCTGTATTCCGTATTAATACTATCTCCATCTATTAATAGGTCGAAAACAATTCGATATATCACAATACACGAGGCTGAATGTATTTAAAATCAAATAGAATGCCAATGATGTAGACATGGAGAAGATTTCATCAGAATACGTCTAGCAGCTACCTGCATTATCTGCACAGATGATTGACTAGCTAGAAAAAAAAAATAATTTGAATTCATGGAACAACGAGTGCATTGTAAATCCGTAAATTGAAAATATTTTATAATTTCATAAAATCAGTAAGTGGCGCTTAACACCAAGCGTCTCTGTGGTCAGTTCTTTCATATTGAACGGAATTTAAAACTGATTCAGGTCTGTCACAGTCACCAGAGAGTTTTGAACCCTAGAAAGGCGTAAAAGCACTTTATGTATATTTCAGAAATTAAGACACTGAATAATTTTTCAGTCTCATAATTTGCTTTAGAAATGAATAGATTATCAGTATATAAAATGATCACCGTTGAAATGTATAAGATGCGAAGGGTCCATTGACTGAATTTAAGAAAACCACGATAATTTTGGAAATTAAAGCGTGTTCCAGAATCGTTCACTGTTGACATAAATTTAACTAACGATAATGAAATTTATGTATCTAAAAAAACGTAAGACATTACAGTGAAACTATAATATTAACTGCATGCTACAAATTGCGAAGAAATTTTTCTCGGCATAATTAATAAACAGTATAACCAAATAATAATGTAGACATGCTGGTAATTACTTTAAAGTTATTAAAGGATATAAACCATATATTTTAAGATATTTATTGGATTATTTAAAATGCATCGTGAACTGAATTAATTTTGTTACACAGTACCAAGTTACGTAATCTCAGAACTGTTTTGTTATAAATGTTTGGCCGTGTGAACACTGAGATCGTAGGTTCAGATCCCTCTCGAGACATCCGAATCTACGATGAGTCAACAAACCATCAGATATAGAAAAGAGTTCAATAACCTAACAGAAACTTTCTTCACCAAAAAGGCCAAAGCTCAGAGTGGACTAGATAACCCCCAAAATCTACGAAATGAAAGATTAAGTCATCTTTTCATTCTGTGCTGTTTGAGACAATACAGGGCACAGTGTTCGCTTTAAGTGATGTCTCAGCCACATTCTAGCAGTCTTAGAGCGATCTCTAAAGACTGCTGTGTAAAAACATCGCAACCTTCAAGCTAGTAATGTAAATAACATGATGTTTGGAAGCTAACCGCCTACGACTTACTAAGATAACATTGAGGTTGTTGACAGTATTTCCAATAGACATTACTTGCAGCACGGTACACGAGTTTCTCAGAAGATTTACAGCTTCTCAGTTGCCCCAAAATATTTCTCCTTTTTATATAAACCATACACGAAGTGTTGAAAGAAGTCCGACATACCAACCCAATTCTGAATCAGTTCAATCCGGCCTACATACTCACGCCCTATTTATGTATGATTCGTTTAATATCATTCATCTCCCTACGTACTCCTTAACTTCACAAGTCTTTTCTCCGTTTGATGAATTCATCCCATCACCGTCAATGTCACCCTAAGATAACCAAGAAGCTCCTACATCCTCCTGTCTCTTCATCTATTTTACAGTTTTACGTCCAAATATCCAGCTGAGTGATGACTTAGTTCCATATGCCTACTTATAAATCAAGGTAGGCCAAAGTTATATTCTGTTTGAGGGTTTCTGTAGTGAGGGATAAAATAAATATCTTAGGGAACATCCGAATACAAAAATCACGCATGAAAAATTAAACCAGTATGAAAACAATGTGCAAACTACGTCGCAGTGCACAGATTTTCCACATGGACTCTCTCTGCATTACCTTGGCATAGTATATGATGAGATAGTTTCAAGTGAGTTGACAATCTTAAGTGTTTACATCGTGGTGCATAATTAATTATCACATTTGATATAACTGGATATTTTATTAATTTTATTCAGAGATATAATAGAGGCTCGTGAAATTATTATGAACCTCTGTAAGGCCAGCAACATGCAGCAAACGTTCAATTATTTCACAAACAATTGCTCAGTTCCACTGACGCAGAGAGAATTTCGCCAAAAAAAATTTAACACCTGAATCCTTGCAGAAATCTTACGTAGAAATAATGGAAATCGCCTAGAATACTCTGAAAACTCTCGCTGATTAAATATACGCCAATCTGTAGTTGCTATTCTCATAAAAAAAACTTCCCTTTTAACCATCACAGCATGCTCAATGGATTTTCCAGATAATAAGGTAGAAAATCTAACACAATAAGAGTCCTAAGCACATGTGTTTGCCATCATTATTCCTGTATGCTACCACCTGTAATGCAATGTAATTCATGGGCTACTGAGCAGCTGGTTACATGATCGAATCCCAGTTGTGTCATTTTGTTTTATCATTGTTTGGAATTCAAAATATGGCACAGAATATTATTACTATTATTGGATCTTTATTTGTTGACCCAGAAACAACTTTTTAATAAATTATATGCATGTTTATTCCCTATATATATAACTAACTAACTAACTAACTAGATGGCTTACCAAACCCGAAGGTTCATCACCGAATTAACCAAAGCCCTCCACCGGACCCTGTCCTGGACCAACAAAATCCAGTCTCCTTCAACTCCTATCTCCCATAGATCCCGCCTGAGATTATCCTCCCATCTACGTCTAGGTCTCCCCAGCGGTCTCTTCCCCTCAGGCTTCCCAACCAATACCCGGTGCACACCTCTTGTCCCATCCATGCGCGCTACATTCCCCGCCAATCTCATTCTTCTCGACTTAATCACCCTGACAATACTGGGGGAGCAGTACAGATTTTTAAGCTCGTCATTATGCAGTTTTCTCCACGCCCCATCGTCTTCTCTCCTAGGCCCAAATATCCTCCTCAACACCCAATTCTCAAACACCTGCAATCTGTGTTCCTCCCTTTGAGTTAGAGACCATACATACCAAATTTAAAATAGAAAGAATTGTGGCTTTAAGCTGATGTGCTGAGGGCTCTTGTCAAGTGCGCGGGGAGGTTTTGAATGAAAGAATGATTATATATCATTAAATATGCAAATCAAAAATAATATAACTCTCAATATCACATTAGTTAGTAATAATAATAATATTTGAAACTTAAAAGCAGAAATTAGTGACACTGTTCATCGCATTTAGTATTGGTGGTGGTGTCAGTAATGACTGTTAAGATGGCTGTCTTCTGGGTTGTTGCGTCATGTAGTGTGATAGAAGTTTACTGACGTTACAGACGTCCTTGTCGCGTCCATCACCAAGGCGAGACAGCCTCTGAAACGTTGGTAAACATCTACCAGACTACACGGCGCTACAACCATCTTCGGACTCTCAGCCCACTTAACGGCTATGAAGGTAACACTCCTTGCCGCAAATGATTTCGTTCCGACTTCGTTTGTTGACAGCGTCTACCACGAACAGTAAATATCTACGTCTGTGTACATAAAGTTTTATATTGCTCGACTCTTACACAAATAGTGTTGAGTGTAATTCCCTTCGGAAAAAAGAGTTGTTAATGTACTGTCCCTAGAAGGAACATATATCCATATATCACTTTAAGACCCTACATCAAATGGTGTTGTGACGTAACAAATATGGGCGTCAGCCATGTTGTTATGAAATTGGTAACTATGAAGTTTTTAGATGGCCTCTAAAGACATAATGTCAACATAAAATGTCAACAATTTCGGTAAGATAAAAATACGGGAACAGTTATATAAGCGTTAATTCTATGCACATTCTGTGCAACAACCACCTAGCACTCAAAAATTCCCTATTTCCGAAACCGGAAGTCATCCAAGCATCATAATTCCGGTCATTCGCAATCTTCTCGTATTTGTCAGCATGTGGATTTTCTCTACCGTCCGTTAAACACAATTATGTCTTCCATTCATCTGCTCCGCCAAGGCGATTATATATCTGAGTAATTTAATTAAGGACATTGATAGACATTAACAATTTTACCTAATTTTACCGAGATGTGTGACTGGAATTCGTGGCAAGATGAATGCGAAGATTACCTCGTTCTGACTATACGTACTTATTTGTACCAAAGTAGTTAGCGTAGAATTTAAAGGTCGGATATTTGAGTCGCTTTGTCGGAAAATGCTTTAATTCTTACGTTTAATTCGATAACTTCTCATTTAAACTGCGAAGTTTTGAATATTTCAACTACGTTTTTCTATTTTCTTATGAAACTCATACCAGGAGCAATTGGAAATGGATACCAAAGTGTACATACTGAAATATTCGGAAGATGATGTATACGATAATCATTTCTATGAAGCATACTCAGCGTAGTAATAATATTTGTCAATGAGAAGAAACTGTCGTATTGACATGAACATTATCACTGTATTATTTGTGTTGCATTGGCACGTGAAGAAATACACGTAAATTTCGAAACGATTGGGATCATGACGTCATCTGTTTGCTTACATCATTTCCGGTTTAAATTGTTTGATTTTTGTTCCATAATGTGTGGAAAGAACTGATGATAACTAAATTATAAATTTTCAGTGAACAGAATCAACCATTTCTCACCAAACTTGAGAAGAGTGAGCGCATATTAACATCCACTGAAGTACGAAAAGTGTCTGGAACGTAGTGATCATTAAGAGGAACGTGTGATAATTAAGAAAAGAACACTACTGAATATTTATAAGTTTCTAACAAGGTTTATGTAACTCATAGGTCCCAGATTTTGTAAGACGTATTTATATTGTTCTGACGAAAGGACTGCATACATACCAGTTGTCATTGGCGGAAAGAATCCAATACAAGAACAAATAAACATGGGAACATTATACAGTTTACTCAGGCACTCCCTTTCGGGCAGGTCTTTATTTAATAGGATAAAATTCCACGTTAAAATCTTATCTGAAATGTTTGTGGTTTCATGAATATGAAATTGTTTCCTAGCGGAATGTATTCACAAAAGGAGGGTTTCACGATGAAGAGGTGTGCTACCCTGCGGTTTACGTGTTTTTTCTCAGTTTCTTCAGGAAAATGCTGAAGTATGTCTTTGAACACTGGAATAAATTAATGAAGGAGGGGCGATAGAACATGGGGAAACCATAAACAGGGGATTAAGAAAACTAAGAGAGAGATAAAAAAAATAATAAATAAACTAATTGTTCATACCTCAACTGTAATATCGCATTCATATTTGTGCATTACATTCAATTCGACTGTTTGTCTCTAAGTGATACAAACAGTGAATATATGTAATACAGATCGATTATTTTTTCTGTTCAGTTACTTTTTAAAACACACCCTGATATTAAATTACGTGACTTACATTTTCGCCCAAAGTCATAACAATTGCTTGTTAGCGCCAAGATGAAAGATTAAAAACAGAGAATAATAATTAGCTTCAAGTAATAGATCTTGGTTACAGTTTTAGTCATAAATAGGTTTCGTACCGCTAATGTATTATAGAGACTTTACCTGAATAACTTCCGTAGATAACAGCACTCGAACATCGACGTCCGTAACCGATCACAGATGAACGCAGACTGTCGACTGCAGCTAGGAGCAACAGCGCCGATTTGTTAAAGGTTGAATGTTAACACATGCTGACACACGAGAGTTGCTGACAAACCAAAACCAACTGATTTAGTGCATTCCAGTGGAACGACTGACTCGACGCGGTCTCGTCTTTCATATTACTTTCTAAGAAACGAATCAAATCACAATCTTCCTAGGCACGAGCAACGCGGGTTGAGACATTATTTGTGTTCTCGCCAAGGTGGGGATAGTTAGCAGGGCCATTCCACTGAAGGCGAAGCCCACCTGCTTACAATTGATATGTGGAAGGTTTTCGGTTCGAATTTGGTAGGGATATCAAACATGTTGAGACTCTCGTCACCTTCCTCGGTTTCTGGTAGAATACGACGAAACTGTAATTAACTTTGTAACACGATCACTTCCTTCGATGTACATCCCCATTAATCGTTTATTTCCGTATTTGTGTAGATCAAGTTAATGCAGTCGTAAAATATTGGTACAAATAAAATAAATTTATCGTCTGAAGAATGTGGTGGAATTAAGTAAGTACTCGCCACAAAGATTTAACATTCTAGACAATTAAAAAATAAGTTTTATTTTTAAAATTAAAATTTCTGACAAGACTTATTTGCACATTTTTACTTTGGAATAACAATTTTAAACTTAATAATATGCATATTTGTTTATATCTTATCAGTCTAATTACAATAAAATTCCTATTAAATATTAAAATATTACTATAATTAACATTTAAATATTTAAAATATATTAAATGATGTTCTCCATCGAAAATGTTCGATTAACAATAGATCATCACTTTTTTACACGACATGTTTCAGTTCTAAAAGAACCATCTTCAGGTGTAGAACTGAAACATGTCGTGTAAAAAAGTGATGATCTATTGTAAATCGAACATTTTCGATAGAGAACATCATTTAATATATTTTAAATATTT